TTCTCATACCCTATAGGCTATTAGATGAAGCGTTATTAACAGCCATCTTATTGTTAAGTTAATAAACAGACAGTTTCATAGAGTATGTATCTTACAATCTCGACAAATCCTGAAATGTATCTACAAGAAATATCTTAGATGTTTATATTTATTTGAAATTCTGCTTGGGGCATCAAAAGACAATCAATAAATCGATAACTGAGAACTCGAATTTATCGATAATTGGATTAAACTATGTAGTGCTCACTTTTATACCATAAGTTTACATAACTTCAATTCACCCAAATAATCACATCGCATTTAATTTCACTTTGATAAATCGATATTTTCTGCATATCGATAACAAATATTTGCCCTCTACTCGTGATTCGCCTTAAACTGTAATCTAATATTCAATAGCGACGTTTGACTGGCACTTATAACATCTTAATGGACTTCATAGAGTTGATTCGAACTGTTCTGTTTGTGGTTTTAATGGCCCACTTGTGTCTAGCAGCTCTCAACTGAAATATGTATACGCCCCAAGCTGCAAAGAACAATTCAATTTTGTCGTATGTCAAGTCAAATCAATTTCTAATGTGCTTTTACTTTATTGTGACTGCTTCAACACTTTCTGCTTTCCACTTCTCAACACTGTCAGCTCGCCAACTAAGCCCTCATCCTAAGCCCTCGCTAACCCCCAGCCAATGCTCGCATGCGTTGCAAGTGTTTGTCATGTTTGTTTGCTTGTGTCAAGTGTTTCATATGCTTGTCATACACACACACACACACACACACATACACACGCACACACACACTTGTCTATATATACATATATATAGATAGATTGGCAACACTTGCCCGTCTCGAGAGCCCCTTGCCCCTCCTCTGCGTGCTTGTGCTTCTAGCTCTCGTTTTCAACACTTGTCAATATAACAATTTCATGAGCGCCCAACCCAAGCAATTTCTATATGTTTATTAAATTTATGTGTATTTAATATACTAATAATAAATTAGCTTTTATGTTTATTACGTTTTGCTGTGCAAATAAGAATATTTTCTATATTTTTGGCATTTGCTAATCATCAACACGTAACCATTAAATGGAAGCGAGAAAAACTAACTCAATTAACATGCTTGTCTAAGCACACACATATGCCGCATACGCACACGTACACACACAAACACCCTAAGTGGTCTGTCATATGTGAAAACATAGAAGCATGCAACAGCAGCATGCTCGACTAGAAGTTACCCTAGACATACGCAACTGCGTTGCATTGCTAGCAAGTTCGTCTGGTAACATTTGAAGGTCACTTGTAATGGAAATAAAATATATTTTAGTTTTTGCCTTTGTCACAGTCACAATATGCCCGCTGCCCGAGAGTTGTGCTATTTTGGGGGCATGAAAAGCGAATAATTGTTTACGCAGCAGCAGGCTGCCCCCAAAAAGCAGGCAAGCAACAAAGAGGGCTGCCAGGACCAAATGCCATAGGACACGGCATGTTGCACGTGTGCGAGAGGCAGGCACATTCAAGTGCCACAGAGAATAACAATAGAGCATTGGAGTGGCAGCAGCAGCAGCAGCAGCAGCAAACAAATTAATATAGCTAACTGGCAGATTGGGGCGGGGCAGAGACACAAATAAAAATAGAGAAAGAGTAGGAGGTAAAAACTTTATTTATTTGGCCAGCAATCAGAGGCCCCAATGAAGCTGCCCTTAGATTGCCGGGACATGCTTACATTTATAAATATTTATGCGATGCTCTGGTGCTCCTCGTGCAACATTCTAATCCAATCAGCATCAGGCAAACCAACAACAACAACTTCAACAACAACAATCATCGATGAGAAAACCCAAAAAAAAACCTATTTGCGAAGTCAAAAATTGCAGTCCTTGCTGCCCTGCCCCCTTTCCCTATACCCTGCTGCAGGCGCCATTCACTCAACTGCAATAGATTCGATTTTATATCTGAGTGATCCGCTCCTGCAACTGTCACCCTCCCCCCCCCCCTTGCATCACCGCACACTCAACCCTAAAAAAACTAATAATGCAAAACGTTTTAAAGTTTTTGCGCGACACAAAAAACCGAGCGCGAAAATTGTTTAGTGACTTTTGACAAAGCAAACTAAAAATAATTGAATGTAATATAAAAAACTTGGCAGCAGATAAAAATATCCGACTAGAAGCTACCCTCCACTCAGCTTCAAGTAGCTGTATTGAATCTGTGTACAAGATTTGATATTGATCTCGAATGTTTAGATAAACTTGGCTATGTTTTTATTCTTTATGTAGACGATGCCTGCAATCAACCCTTTTAGCCCATTTGAACTTCAGCAGGGTACGCAGAACAGTCCCAAGGCACTTGCCAAATGTAATGCCAAAGGCAATATGGCACCGTATCCGGTTTATGTGGGCAGACGGATTTATGTACCAGTCGCAACCAAATAAAATGTTCATAGTCAGACTTAGCCAAGCAGACCAGCGCAGAGTACTTGCCACATATGGTGGTGGCTTTCAATAAACGAAATTGCTTGTAGGATTTTGCACACACACCCTCGGCCATGACCTTAGGCACATTTTCGCACGCGCCCAACTTGACAACAGGCCATGGACAAAAGGGCGGACCAGTAGATGGAGTGCCAAAATATAAATAGTCGAGCTGGCAGACTTGCAAATGCGCTGCACAAAAAGACAGCTAGAAGAGCTTGTAAATTTCTATTAAATAAACTTCCGTCAGGGTCCTGAGCAAAGGGCAACTGATACATACCATTTTGCCGCCTGCAAGCATGCAACACTTTTTGTTAGCCGTTTTCTGGCATTTAGTTGGCAGAGAACAGTAAAAAAGGACTATAGCCAGGCCAGTATGTGCATAAACTACCATCAAATAGAGCACATAGTCCTGCACACGCACATAACTTCATCAAGTTGGGCTCATAAAAACGAGGCCTAGACCCAAAACAGAGGGCAAAAAATGCGATAAAAAAAAAAATGGTTTGGCAGCAGAACAATGGCAAGAACAAGGACACTGTGCTTAGGCCAATGCCAAGACACACGCACACACACTCACACACACATGAAAGAGAAGCAAGAAAATCCATTATTACATTTTTCACGCCAATAAAAACAAACACAAAACGCCAGATGAAGAGCAACACGCAACGCCGAGCAACTGTTAAGCTTTAAGTTCTTCTTGTTGTTATTGTTTCTGCTGCTGCTGCTTTGGGTTATTTTTGGCAATTTCCTTCTTGTTTTTTTTTGTTGGCCCATGCTGCTTTGGTCACTCACGAAAATTACTAAAATTGTATATCCGTTTCCGGTTCAAGCGGTGGCAAAGATGTCGCCAGGCATTTTCACCATTTGCTTACGCTCGGCGAACGTCCTTGGCCAAAAGGGACACTTCATTGTGGGCATTATTTATGGCATATCACGCATACGACACATGCACATGCTGCACGCATGCTGCCCAAATTGACAAAAAAAAGCGCTGCTACAAGTTTTTCTTGCACACGATTTTCCCTTGCTTTAAGACCCTATTCCCGACCCACCCCCTCAGTGTGTACAGGCCTGTGCCAATTTAAAATACATTAATTAACAAGAACTGACGCCCGCTGTCGAAGGCCAAGAGAATCAGTTAAGAGCCAATCAACTTTTATGGCAGCTACAACAAACTGTGTGCTGAGAGGGGCCAATAAGGATTAATAATATGGCCAAAGCCGACAAGCGGCTGTCCCAAATGGCAAAAGTTTCTTGCGGAAACTGTTGAGCTGCTGCCTGTTGCAAGGCTGCGTGGCTGCCACATGTAACACAGGTAGCTAGCTTGTTAAGATTATGAATATTGCGAATTTCATGTACATTATGAATATTAATGTTGGCATTGGTTGAAGTTTAAACTGCGGCGTGGCGAAACTTATAATTTGTCTAATTAAAACTTTCGTTCATTCGTTTCATTCGCGTGGCAGCTTGCAGTGAAGCACCAAGCGAAACTGCAGACCTGCCACTTGCCACTTGCCACTAAGTGATATGAGAGACAACAAAACAATCACAGGGCAGGTGCGGGGTGGCAATAAAACAAATCGAGCAGCCATGCATCGGTAGTCGTGCCATGTGCCACAATGAAAACTGTGCGCCACTTTGAAACTTTGCTGGCGGTCACCGAAATCGACTTAAAGTTTTAAGCAAATTTCAAACTAATGCACATTGTTTATTGCAAAACTTTTCCGAGCATAAACAAAAACTAGTTGCCAAAGGGCCAACTCATGCATGTCACATGACACTTTTTGAATTCAATTAAAATAGACACAAGCCACATCTAGTTTAATAGCCCGATAATTATTTGTCAATAAAGCCAATAATAAAAATATAAATAATTGTCATGTTCGCAGTGCCGAAACCCAAATACCCTATGAAAGGAATGTGCCAATTCGTTCTATTTGTAACTATTCCCATGCGTGAAGCTTGCTAAGCTGAGCGGAGCTTGGCTTGGATGCCTTAAGAACTGAAACTGTTTTTTATGCTACTTAATTTTGTAGTAAACAGTTCCTACGGCAGCTCCATTATACAGTTGCCAAACTTTGGCATATGGGTTTGTATGACTGCAAGAATCAAACAGACCAAGATCTAGTCAAAAATTCCTTTAAAGCTGAGAGCCAAGTCCAGAATCAGTTTGCCATAACAAATAATTGTATATACATATATTCAGTATAAATCGACTGTTAGAAGTATCAAATCCATAATGCCAACTGCATCGGAATATAAGTAAGTTGTTGAACCAATAGAAGTCAACTTGGAGGCACACAATTATACATATTAATCATACGACAAGTTGTCCAACATGCAGCTAAGCTAACAGCTGTTTATATGTTACTCTGTTATACCCATATTCATAGGGCATCTCTGAACCTCAACTGAAGCTTAACTTCTTTTTAATTGCCTTTTAATAGCGCTCGCTTTTATGTCTACCGAAAATGAGCTGCGCTGATCAGTTGCGCCTTAGAGCTGTAGCTGGCAAAATCACAAAATGCGCTATATGATTGTAGTATTAATTATTTGCGAGGCCGTGCCTGAGATCGTGCGTGGCGCTCACTTCAAGCTGAACAATGTGGCCTGCCGCTGCTATGACTTGACGTACTGTGAGTTCAGGCAATGCGAGCTGACCATCAAGCGGCGGGGCGTGGCCGCCTTTAGTATGCACAGCGTGCTGCATCAGACGCCGGTGAACAATATCTTCATTAATCTGGAGCTGTTCAAGAAATCGAATGGCTATCGCTCGTTCCTGCTCAATCAGAGTCTCGACTTCTGCTACTACATGCGCAATCCGAAGGCCTATGTGTTTTTTCACTCCTTCCACAGGACTTTCATAGCCGTCTCTAACTTCAATCACACGTGTCCCTATAATGTGAGTAACATAACTCAACTACGACTTTTTATTAACTATTCTCACTTAACAGCACGATGTCATTATTAATCGATTTTCATACGAGAAGGGTGCATTGATGGATCTGCCCATGCCGAATGGTGACTATATGTTGTATCTGAAGCTTTCGGTATCTAAGGTCTGGCGTGCGGAACTTAAGATATATGTAACGCGATCTGATTGACATTAAACTAACCACGACTGAAATTATGATTTTGAAAATTGGCGAATGGTAAACTGCAAACATTTATGCAACCGTTTCTACAATTGCCTGATTAAGGTGCACGTGCAGAAAGAGTTATGGGAAATTCCACCCGCATGTGTGGAGCAATCATTCATGGTTAACATTCATGCTAAAATGCGATTCTCATGACTCTCATTCTGATTGCGACTCTCTCTTTCTAGCTCTCTCCCTCGCTCTCACTCTTGCCCATTCAACTCTCCTTTTTTATATGTTAAGATATGGTTTTAGGTTGAGTGCATATTAAAAAGTACATTGATATTTATCTGAATATGGATATATTGTTCAGCTAAGGCAATTCAAACATGGGCAAACAAATAATGGTTTCGTTAAAATTCAGCTTAGCGATTCAGCGATTATAGATTGGCGTAATATTAAGCAATTAAGTGTAATTATAATTTATTTCATAAAATTGTTTCGATCGCTGGAATCAGTTGCAATTTGGCAGCCGAGTTGGAAACATGAATCCTCGCTTGGCGCAGAAGTTCCTGTTGATGAGGCTACTCTCGATGCTTTGCCTTACACTAGACTGCCAAGCAATGCTTTTTCGAACTTCTAGGGCAGAGTGCAAGTCATTGGACCTGGCATTTTGTTACTTCAAGAGCTGCGAAATGTGGAGCAAAAATGGCCGCACCAAAATCAATTTTTTTGTAGCCGTGCGTTACAAGGAGCCCGTCGATGACATCACCGTAAGTACCAAGATATATCAGATATATAAACCATAATATATTTGGAACATCGTCCAGATAAACCTGGCTCTCTATCGGATCACAAAGACCTACCGCATGCCCATCATAAATGAGACGATCGATTACTGTGCCTTCAGTAGTCAGTCCTTCGCATCGAGACTTTTCAATTATGCCGTTTTGCCCGTATTCAAGAATTCGAATATGAACTTTTCATGTCCCTTTCAGGTTTGTTTATTTGTTAATAATTTGTTTAATTTATTTACAACTCAAGCCATTTCTATTCTAGCAGCCAGATGTTATCGTCAACGGAACTGTAAGTGATAATAGTTTGATTACCGAAATACCGGCGCCTAAGGGAAATTACATATTCAACTTTCGCCTGGCCGCATTCAAAAAATGGAAAGTGGATATAAAAATTTATTCAAAGGTGGTAAATAATGTTTGATTTAAATAGAAGTTCATGCCGTCGATAACAAATAGGAAAATTCGAACTAATACAAGGTGAATAAATTTGTCTATAGAATATTTGCGGGCACCATTTTAGCATGAATTTCGACCAAGAAGAATGTTGCTAGATTTATATGCCAAACCATGAACAAAGAGCCAAACCTCGTCAAAATCTGATGATATGTGACCGAGCTATGGGGTGAGATATTTTGTCCCATATCTTTATAGGATATTTGAGTATTATATGTGTGTGCATGCTTGTGCGTGTGTGCGTTAGTGTATGCATGCATGTATGTACGCATTTATGTATGTACATATGTAAGCATGCATGTTTGTTTTCTAAAACCTGCTGCTAATTTCAACAAAACCAATTTCTACCAAGTGCTCTACTCCTCGATTCTCAGGAATTCAAGTAGGCTCTGCAGTTTGTGGTGCTTAGTTAGTAGGGTAGTGATTTTTTTTTTTTGGTATTTTGTTGTTTTTTGTTCTATGTATGTATGTACATATATATGAATGTTTGTACGTGTGTACATATATGTATGTGTGTGTATGTATGCACGTATGTACAAATGTACGTATATACTTATGTATGTATATACATATGTGTATGTATGTAAGTATGTATGTATGTATGTGTGTACGTATGTACACACACACATGCATGTGTGTTAGCACATACATACAAAACAAAGAAGAGTACATATACATGCAGACATGTACACAAACATATATGGATGCATGCAAAAATGCATAAGTACATGCATGCATGCATAAATGTATATGTATATGTATATGTAGATATATACGTAGATGTACATGTAGATGTATATGTAGGTGTACATGTATGTGTATGTATTTTGTGTGACTTTGTATGACTCTGTGTGTGTATGTATGTATATATGTTCGAATGTTTGCATGTGTGTGTATGTGCATATGTAAGTATGTGTGTACTCCGATTCGCAGCAAAATTAAATATAACGTCTTCTTAAAAAATGCCCTACTACGCGATTCTCATAAATGCAACTAAGCCTTTCAGATTTCCTTTCTTTGAATATAAGTGTTAGTCGTTAAAGACTGGTGTTGGCAATGTAGTAATCTTTTATTTTCTGAGCAAGAATGTGTTCTAATTCTTTTTCGTGTATGTACATATGCATGTATGTATGTTTGTTTGTAAGTCTGAATGTTGTTACGAATATATACACGTACATATATATGATTGTTCGCATCAATGTCTGTATGCGTAAGTATGCATATATTTGAGATATATTTGAGTTAATGCGTTTGTATGTTCTCTAAAGCATAACGCAGACGAAGACTAATACTATAGAATATGTATTATTAAACAGTGCTCTACTATGCGATTCTCATGAACTTAATAGGACCCCAAGGTATTCATACTGTGTTATATTAATATCTAATAACTATTAAATAAATATTTGACTTTATCCATGATCGTAATCTCACTGTGGCTCTCTCTCCCACTCTCTCTCTCTCTCTCTCTCGCTCTTTCTCTCTCGCAGTCTACTCTAACCCATTTAAATCTCTTTTTTTATGCAAGACATGGCAATAAATAATCATCCGCGTGTGCATGAATTTTAGGTTAACCGCAAATTAAAAAGTATATTTAAATTTATCCGAATGAGAATATATTTATAGCTAAGGTAATTCAAACATGGGCAAACAAATAATTGTTTGGTTAAATTTTAGCTTATAATCGATACCTATTATAGATTGCCATAGTATTAAGCAATTAAGTGTTATTATAGTTTATTTTATTAAATAGTTCCGATCGCCGGAATCAGTCGCAATTTGGCAGCCGAGTTGGAAATATGAATCCTCGCTTTGCGCAGAAGTTCCTGTTGATGAGGCTACTCTCGATGCTTTGCCTTACACTAGACTGCCAAGCAATGCTTTTTCGAACTTCTAGGGCAGAGTGCAAGTCATTGGACTTGGCTTTTTCTTACTTCAAGAGCTGCGAAATGTGGAGCAAAAATGGCCGCACCAAAATCAGTTTTTATGTGGTCATGCGTTACAAGGAGCCCATCGATGACATTACCGTAAGTACCAAGATATATCAGATATATGCGCCATAATAAAGTGTGTCCTTCCAGATAAACCTGGCTCTCTATCGGATCACAAAGACCTACCGCATGCCCATCATAAATGAGACGATCGATTACTGTGCCTTCAGTAGTCAGTCCTTCGCATCGAGACTTTTCAATTATGCCGTTTTGCCCGTATTCAAATGTTCGAATTTGAATTACTCGTGTCCCGTTCAGGTTTGTTTTTTTAATTTTTTCTTTTTTTCAATTTATTTTCAATACAAACCATTTCTATTCCAATAGCAAGATATTATCGTCAACGGAACTGTCAGCGATAATAGTTTGATTACCGAAATTCCGGCGCCTAAGGGAAATTACATATTCAACTTTCGCGTGGCCGCATTCAAAAAATGGAAAGCGGATGTAAAAATTTATGTGAAGGTGGTGAATAATCACAATTCTAGCTAATAAATATTAAAAACTTGATCGTTTTACAGCGCCATCTGTTGGCAATTTCAAAATGCGATTTGCCATTCGCACAGAACGATTTCAGAGTTGCCACACTGTTTTTTTTTCTCATAACATTTTTGCTCCTCACAGAACAAGACTATGCTCCACACATAACAGCAGTATTCGCAGCTGTTAAGCAACTCACATCTCTAGCTTTCCATCACTCTTTCTTTCAGCGTGACACATCAAACCGAGCGTACGTATATTTTGCCAACTGCCAAAAAATTAATGAATTGTGCGTTAAAATAGTTACAAATATTATAAATAATACGCGTATGTGCAGCTATAACAACTTCAATTAGATTGCTACTATAAATTATTAAAAAAGTGCTAGGATGCAAGTTGAAAAGTGCGATTATAATCTAACCTAATTTTCTCTTCTGAACTTTACAGTATCGGTTGAATTGTTGGAATCATGGTTAACGGCCGCATACCCTCGGTCTTCTCGAAGACCTATGTGACTCCCCGTCGTCCTTATGAGAAGGCTCGTCTGGATCAGGAGTTGAAGATCATCGGAGAATATGGTCTGCGTAACAAGCGTGAGGTGTGGCGCGTCAAGTACGCCCTGGCCAAGATCCGTAAGGCTGCCCGTGAGCTGCTGACTTTGGATGAGAAGGACGAGAAGCGTCTATTCCAGGGTAAGTTGGCCGACGACGCCAAGCTGCTGGCCATGTCATGATGATCTGTATTAAATAATATAATTCTGACACTTCTTGTCTGAATAAACATTGACGTTAACCAATACACACTGAAAACAGTTCGCCAGCTTTGAGCTATATAATTAAAACTGGAAACGAATATAACTATTTTCCCTGCTTCCGTAGGTAATGCTCTGCTGCGTCGTTTGGTGCGCATTGGTGTCTTGGACGAGTCGCGCATGAAGCTCGATTACGTGCTTGGCCTGAAGATTGAGGACTTCTTGGAGCGTCGTCTGCAAACCCAAGTATTCAAGCTTGGATTGGCCAAGTCCATCCATCATGCACGTGTGTTGATCCGTCAGCGTCACATTCGGTAATTATCTCTTGGACAGCGACGGAAAACGTCGCCAGGCATCAATAGCCAATAGCTAATTAAAAAACAAATGTTCAGTAAGACCACTTGGGAGTCGAACAAGCCGACATGAGCTTGCACCGGCTCTCAACGTCTTTTGGTCTTGTAGTTGAGCCCCAGTTGTTCACTCAGACCATATTGCAAAGCTCCATAGCGTAAGTTGCACTGAACAAATTGCTCCAACTTGAAAGCCCTTGCGCTGAGCTAAACAAGTGTATGTATTAATATACCTAATCTTTCTTGTTTACATTCATATAGTGTGCGCAAGCAGGTGGTTAACATCCCATCGTTCGTGGTGCGCCTGGATTCGCAGAAGCACATTGACTTCTCTCTGAAGTCGCCCTTCGGTGGTGGCCGTCCCGGTCGCGTTAAGAGGAAGAACCTGAAGAAGAACCAGGGTGGTGGCGGTGCTGCTGCCGAGGAAGAGGAGGACTAAACTGCAGTAAAGCTGCTGCAAAACGCAGTTATTTTATAATGAAAGAACTTGAAATATTTACAAATTAAATGTAAAGTCCTTTTAAAAAAGTTGCTGGTTTTCTATTCGATAGTCATTCAGACATTTGGCGTTGCCAGACTGGTAACCAATTGTAAAACTAAATACTGCACATGTTTAATAATTACAATTTGATGCATTTGCGAAGCGCTTTAGTGCACATTATATTTATTTTCTTAGTTTTTTAAATATTTAATGATTTTAAGCAATTGTTGCGTTCTTATATATGTAAAGTAGGTGTCATTCTCTTGCGCACTTGTGACGTCACTTAATTTCTTGTCTGGCACCTGCGCTAAGCATTACCATCGTTCTCTCGATACCATGCGCCGGCAGTCTCTGAGCGGCGTTTGGCGAGTGCAGCTGTGTTTTGGTTTTCGTTTTGAATAGTTGGCATTCAAAATTGTGTCATATTTGTTATTAGAAATAAAAATAATTCAAATTAAAACGCACACAGCCAGCAATCATGCCAAAAGGTGTGGATAAAGTGAAAGTGAACGTAAAGGAGCGGATCGAGGATGAAAGCTGTGATCTAAGCCTCTCCGAGCTGACCGAAATACCAGTGCGTGAAATTGTAAGTAAATTACGTGCGGGCGCCATTAATTGCAATAAAATCTACATGTATAGGTAATTATCTTCTGCGCTGGGTCATATCTGACCCTTCTGATTCGCTTACCACACCGCACAAGTGCAAACAAAGCGCTGTCTTGTCTGGCGTTAGTCTAGCCAGTTATTGGCTTTCTCGCTCGCGCAAACAGTTGGGTACTGTCGTTGTTGTTGTTGTTGCCTGCCTGCTGCCGGCTGGCTTGCAATTAACGCTGACGTTGACTGCATTGCATTTACACTTGAGAGCGCCGCAAGATGTGTGGTTGTATGCTATGATATGAGCGCGCGTGTATGTGTCTGTGTGTGTGTGTGTATGTATGTGAATGTGTGCAACCAAAATTGCTTGAGGGGGTTGATTTTTGTGATTTGGCAGCGCAGCTACCACCCCTCGGTCAGTGGCACGGGAAAGTTGCCAAATATTGTATTTTACCGTTGTTTCGGGGGTTTCTTTTTGGTTGTTGAACTTCCTGTTAAAAATTCAACTCACATTCAGTTCATATTTTACCTTCACAGGCTTCGTTCAAGCGCGTTATCTTTCTGGACCTCTCCAGCAATCGACTGGTCACACTCGGCGTACGTTAGATATCATAAGTAAATGATTTAATTTGTATTAAAATTGAGCTTATTTTCCCATAGCGCAACTTCACCACGCTCACAAGGCTAATTCAGCTCGATCTAAGCAAGAATCAAATCCGAGTTCTGCCCGATGACTTTGGCCAACTGGAGCAACTGCGTCACTTGGACTTGTACGACAACTGCTTGGAGCACTTACCCTTGAGCTTTGGACGTTTGCGTCGCTTGCGCTATTTAGACTTAAAGGGCAATCCCTTGACGCCCGCTTGGGAGAAAATTGTGGGCCGCTGTTCAACGCTGAAGGACTGCCAACAGGCGGCCAAGAATACTGTAAGACAAGTGGCACTTGAGTCGAGTGCGCCTTTTCATGTACAATTTGCTCACATTTTGCAGGTCAACGTTTGTGCAAACTACAAGTCGGAATTCATTGAACGTGAACGTATAGCGGCCCAGGAGCGCCAGCTGAGCTCTGCACAAATGGCAGGCGCTGGCGATGGCGATGGCGATGGCAGCTCCAGCTCGAATCATAGCACAAAGACCAATGGCGGCGAGGCCTCTAAGAAGTCCAACAAGGCAAACAAGAAATCAAAATCGAAGAAATCGGGAGCTGCTGCCGAAAACGAGCTCTCAATCAAACCTGTGCATTCAGGCCCCATCAAATCCACCAATCAAAAGAACAATCAAAAAAAGAAGTCAACAAATGGCAGCTGCTGGCTTACGGCCATATCGGGCGTTGCTTTTTCATCGCTGATGACATTTTTGCTGCTGTTCATAATCAATGTGCTTATTATTTATTTGATAATGTTCAAGAACCCGGACATCGCCGATAAGCTAGTCGAGTATATACCTCATCAATATCGCGACTGGATACTGACCAAGACGGAAATCTTTCGACTGCGCGTCACCGATTGGATCTCGGAGTTTCGCACCCCGCCGGAGGAGCACTGACGATTCATTTATTTGAAGCCATAAAGCGCGGGGCTTCAAATAGAACAATAACAATCATTTAATATCGGATGCATAGCGCGTGTGTGAAAGCGATTGAAAAATTTTAACAAGTGTAGACCACCTCAACAAATTAGAAGAGTGCGATTTTGAAACAACCCAATGTACTGCCCTATACATATGTATCATTAAGTATATACGTCCATTGGCAAGAAATTTTTACCTCACATACGACAGACCAAACACACACACACACACACACACACACACAGCATCAGAACTATAATATAAATGCAATGCAAACTACTCTCAGTCAATCTCATTTTAAACTAACTTTACAATAGATCAAACACAAACTCAATAGTAACTGAAACACAGTTCAAAACTGGCTAACACATAGAAACTACAGACACAGTCAACGTGCTTCACACGGCCATAACACTTATCTATCATACATACATACATACATATGTACCAGACTCATAATATCTATGCAAATGCAAGTGCATTATGTAAGAATTTCTTGTGCAATTTATATTTTGTTTGAAACCCAGCAACAAGTAAATGTCAGAGAGTTGTTCGAATTTATGATTTAATGCTGACAGATTTGAAATCTAATGTATAATGTAGGTTTTTCTTTTTTTGAATGAATGAATGCCGGTTTTCGTTTCACTCTGTGAATGGAAACAAAAGTGGTTTCATATAATTTTGAATGCATAACAATTTTAAATTATATATTGTACGAAAAATATAACAAATGTATACAAAAAGATTTCCTGATTTTTGGAATAAAGTTTTTACATTTTAATAAACCCAATAAACCCAATTTAAACAAAGGTTAAGATTTGCAAAAAATGGCTATATGCTTAAACTATTTTATTTATGTATACTTTATCAGTTGATTCATTGTCATTCCTTCGCATTGATTGGCCACACTTATTAACCAAATGAATGATAGATAATTCCGAGTAAATATTCTATTTTTATACTAAATCAGTTTCTTATCAACATTTTAATTGGCTTCTTTGATTAAATTTAAATGTACTGATAACTTCTATGATCAATAGAAAAAGCCGAATTTAACTTTCGATGAAAGTTTTTACAATTGTATAAAAACTAGTGAAGTGATTTTCAATATTTCGTATTATTAGTGATATACAGATGGATGGTAAATGTATTTTCGATGCTTAATCGCTTTTCGGCTAGGTTCCCCCCTAATTACCTACTTAATAGCCCTCTAATGGTTCTCATATTCCTGTTTCAAGCTCTCTGCACACGACTCTGTCACGTGTGTATCGACAGTTTTTGTTTGAAGACCACTTAAAGCCAGTTTGACAATGGGTTGTCACATATCGTACTTAATTAATAATGATCAGCAAAAAATACTGTACATATACATACATACATTCATGTGAATTTCACCATATCTAATTGTTTGTTTTGTTTATCAATATACATAATGGAAATCCCTAGAATGATGACGTACGGGCTGTGAAAGGTGAAAAATTAAAATGTCACTGCAATAATTTGTGAGTCAACATGACATTGCATTTTCTTAGGCTAATACATATATTATTTATATGACCGAATGTTTAACGCTTTCTATAATATTAGTTATTTTCAGGTGTTTACAATTTACACTTTCAAGCCCTGATTACGCTGACGCAATTTGCTGTTCTCTTATCGTATGCCTGAGAGGATGTCTAATCGCGTGTCGTGTTGCCGAGCTTCTATTTTAAAGTTTCATGTTTCCGTTGCGAGCAAAAACTTTAAAAGCATTTGCAACGGTTATGAAAGACCAGATCGAAATTTCGTCAGCCAAACGTCAAGGCATTTGCAGACCCTTGCCCTTTTCATTTTCTTCATCCTACGCTCTTTGACCCTAGCAAATAGCTCTCAGCATGTTGTCCTACGCTTATCCTTTGTCTCTCTTCGTTGAAAATTGCACTGTTACAAACAAAACTAAAGTATAATTTGATAATGGGCCAGAAACGTGTATTGCCAGAGAGAATGAGAGCGCGCTCTCTTCCTCTCTGTAGTATACTCAGTCGCTTCTGCGCATTCAGCGTGCCGGCCGCTGTTTCGATGTGTGCCGTATTCAGCTGTTACTTTAACGGCAACTCTCAATATTTTGGCGCGCCCGTTGTGCGCTCTTTTATATAAAACCGCTAAAAATGCGAGCGCAGCGTCAGTTGCTGTATGACTTTAGTGCCGCGTGGTCAACGTTTTGCAAGCGGTGCTTTAATTGTTGAGAATATTTAGAACGTGTGCATCGTTAAATATAAGTTATATTCATGTATGATTAAGTAGCATAAGCGTTACAAAAACTGTTTTAAAATAGAACTAATCGTTGAGCTTATTTCAAAATCATTGAACAGAGTTAAGAAAGTGCTAACTAACGTACACAACGGGCAACGCAACAGTGGACAGTGTAAGTACACACACACACACACACAGACACACATGCACACATAATTACGTTCTCGTGTCTGTTTGTATGTTCTACTCAAGAATTTTTGTGTATGCGAACAGCATAAGAAAAAAAATGTCAAGCACATGGCACAAATTTGGACGTCTAGAAATAGAAGGCGACTGCATGGCAATAGTAAAGCGTAAAGCTGCTGCTCAAACGCACACATTATGCAGTCTCTCGTAAGGGAAAGCAATCGAAAAATGTCGTTAACATGCCCCAAATAATAAATAAATAAATATGTACAGTCTGAGAGAAAGCCATTAAAACTAATGGGCAAATGTCAAAATTATACAATCACAAAATCGCACAAGCATGCATGCACTGACGAAAAGTCAAAATGGGCCAGAAATAAACCAAAATTGTATGAGAAATTTTGTTGGTTAATGCATTATTCAACGTGTTCAGGGGCCAGAACAACAAAAGCTTAGCGTCAATTATATTTCTGCATTGTGTTGCACACGAAAATCTGTTTGCATATTGTTATTAAGTATTTTTAAACCGTTTTTAAGACCGCCAGATATGTTCATACAAATTCTGACAGGCCAAAAGCAAAGTCCCGTCAACGTTGACACGCGTACGAAACGTAAGCAAAAGACGTAGTCGCTGGCTGCTCTGCTGACGTCGACGCCGAAGCTGACGCCTACCTGCCAGCGTTGCACCTGCTCTACAGTTCTCTCTTCGCATATTTTGTTTCTGTTGTGACCTCTGCATTGGCACTTCTTCCGATTTACATGTCTTTCAAATCACTTTCCATGAATGAAGTCTTTATTATGGTCCGAACGCAGTAAACAAAAACAAATACGCGCGCGCTTTCTAATGCTTATACTAATACTAATACTGCTACTTTTACTAAACTAGGCAGTTTGAAGCGTTTTGTTTTTGTTTGTCTGATTTTGTGTAATAGTGCAATGGCTGAAGAATTCGATTTAAATTGCTGATTCGCCACGTTTTCTTAACAATAAATACGTAATTTACGGGTAATTGAGCGTGTTAAGGGGAAAGTCGAATAGAACGGACTCTAGTGTAGGGTATAACCAATGCTAATTTACGATAGCTAACCGCCCACGACAATGAAAGCCATTAGGACACACACACATCGACACTCACTTGGCCCTCATGTAAGGAAGAAGACAAATTGTTAGCCTGGACATTAATTGCATGATAAGCTCAAAGCAACAAAACCAAACTATTAAAATCGAATATTTGTGCGGACATTTTAGAAGGCGACCTTCGTTGTCTGACCATGGGACAAGCAAGCGCCTCATCCTTATCTCTGCCTACTTAGAAGGTATAAAAAGCACATGCATGCATGCGTACATGTGTATGTTCATAAGTATGTATGTATGTATGTATGTATGAATGTATGAATGAACGTGTTTGCATAACACACAATTTTCAATGTCGCTTTGGTCTATTGATTTTTGTACGGCGATAATTAACATACAAGAATTTTAGAAGCGGGCAAAGGCGAATTCAACTAAGGCGCAGTAAAACTGTGACGTCAGAGAGCGAAGGGGGCAAAAAGAAATGCGGGTCAGCGTCAGTCGCTGTTGAGCGTGGGCAGCATTAGTTTTCATCTATTTCAACGAAGTAAGTCCTGAATCTATTTAAGTTAAGCTGTATATATTAATGTTAGCCACGCTTAAAGAATTGAATTACGCCTTGTTACGATCCCCGCTAATCTACGGCCAATATGGACGCTTTTTACTGTTATTTCTGTTGCCGTGCCGTTTCTGTTATAGTTCCCACTGACGGTTGTTCCTTATGATTGTGCTTGCTTGTTTGCTTGTCAATTTGCGCAAAATGGTCGGCACACGCCCTTACACTTGACCATTTTCCTTGTGGCAAGGTAGAAGAGCCACCCTTTTGCGAGTGCTGTTACCTCAAGACAAATTGATTTTTAGTTGAACGTAACCAATTATCGTAACGACGGCACACCTCAGGTGCTATTTGCTGTGTTATCAACTGTTGCAACAAGCCGTAAACTTCTAAGAATTCGCTTATATATCAATTTTTAACCAGCGAAATTCTTTAAATTATTGTCTGTGAATATACCCAAAAGTTAATATGCAAGGTTTCTTGTTATGCGCCTGTCCACTTTATTATCTCGATTGATAAAGCGAACACACACGGCTCTTATCAGGAGTGTGCACCTCTGCTTATGCAATGACCCTACAAGCACTCTAATTGTTTATTACCTTTAAGCTACTGCATTTATCTACATATGTATATGTGTATCTAATGGTAATTGCCTTACAATGTTTAGGGCCCAAGTTCCTGTTCTCTAACTAAAGTCACGCAATATGTAAATGGAAGTGAACCTCTAGACATTAGGCACGTGCCTACAATAATAATAATGATAATGATATACATATAAGTGCTGCTTAAAATGATCTTTTCTAGGCGTAGTTGATTTATTTGAGCAGCAGTTTTTGTCGACTCAAGCAATTTCTACTGATACTATATAACGTTGAGGAGGGGCATATTACTGGCACATTTTTCAATGACGTCAAATATTTTGTAAACAACGGAATGCTTATTAAAAATGTCTAATTGATTACTTGCTAAAAACATGTTAATCTTAATTCGTTTAGTCTGATTGATTATTTATAATCTAACATTGCCTATTATAATGTTATTTTACTGTTCATTTCTTTTAAGCCAAATGTAAACATTCTATTGGAAACCCAATACTTTCATTGAAGTTGCCTTAAATTCATTCAAAAAAATAGAAACATTTCTGCGTACACAAATGCAACATAAGTAGGTGAAAAGTTGTAGCTGATGAAATTTCTATAAAACTTTGCACGGCGCCGCATGAACTTGAAGCTAAATATAAACATAATTATTTGAAAGTAAATATAGATTGTTCATTTTCTAAGAACCATCACATTATGTTGACTTCGAACTGATGATAAACGAAATTCCGGAAATGATTTCTTGACGCATTCGTTTTCAAACTAAGCTTTTATCAAATCAAACAAACATTCCACATTTACCGTTATTTTTTGAATATCACAAATACAAATATTTACCCCGTGTTAAATTCGAATACGAGTCCTAAACTTCGTAGACGTCATCACATGTAGTTAAAGACGTCAATTTAAATTCT